GGGTAACAGTGTCCCAAAAGTAGGGTAAGTATGTCTATAGTGATATGAAACTGGTCTCCATGGCAGGGTAACGTGACTCTCGTAGATAGGATAAACTCATCCAGCCTTCCGACCTATCCTTAGGGCTGATCTGACTTGGTCAGGTCACTCCCACTACTTAGGTACACCTATTCCTTAAGTACCTTCTGTTCTTCATGATACCTGAACCATCAGATATCCCTCCGACATGCGTCAGCATGTCTGCCTAGTCTACCATGTAACCTCTTGGTCTTATGTATAAGTGTAGACATAGGATGCCATAACTCTATAATGTAGGGTCATTACAACTCTTGTTTTTTCCATCACTGGACCCAAGACTCTATCCTTTGCTGCCAAATGCCTTTCTGCCTTCTCCAATACATACTGAACCGAACACCATTTACATTTCAACAAATATACTCAGTGTGACAATTGTTACAAGTTTGGCCACCACAGCATCAAATTCATCCTGCCTCCTTGCCACCACTGGTGCCTCCTTCCTCACCCTACTAGGGATCACTCCTGCCCCACAACTACCTGTCATCTTCAGAGTTGTCTCTGTAGCCATACCATACCTAGGTGTGCGAACCATGATGGCCCACACGAGTTACACTCACTTGTCTGCCCTTTATGCCCCTGTCCAGCTACCCAAGAGTCTGAGGCTTCTGAGGAACATGAAGAAGAGGTAGATATGGACAGCTTTATATAGGTTGAGATACCTATGATGATAACACTAGCTTCTCGGGTAGCTTAGGATGGCTATTATATGAAGTAGTCAAGGAAACTAGTTAATGAAGAGGTTGTCACAGCACTTCTTCGCCCTGCAATCTGAATTCTTGATTGTGTTGCTCATTGGCTTTGGGAGGGCGATTTCTTTTATTTATAATTGTGCCTTTTAGTGTGGGGTACAAGGCTAGAGCAGTCCTGCTGGTGGTAGTGTTTTATTTGATTTGGTTGGGATTCCCATGGCCTGGCTAGGTGGTGCTGGTGGGTACCGGACTGGTAATAAACTTGTACTTTAACTTTTCATGTTGGCTTGCTTGCGGGAGGTGGTTAACCGTTTGGGGTTAGAGGTTTGGTATCTTGTATTTAGTTGCCAGTTTTTGTGGGGGTAGCTGGGCCCTAGTACCATCAGTGGATCCTGACTGGTGTTAGTCTACTGTTAGGGTGGTGCTCGATCATATACCACATTGGCACAATGAGTATAAATAAACTTTGATTGAATTCGAGTACCTGTACCTAGGAATTACACCTCTCTTCCACTTCATATCCTCTTAATCCTGTGAACCCTGACCCTGAACCCCTGAATCCTGAACCTTGTACAACTCTACTGAGTTGTATACCTGTACCAAGACATCACCTCCAAACTCCTGCCTGCTCCAATCATGGTGTCTTACTCTACCCGACCCTCAGATCCTATCCATTACAGTACTATGTGAAAGCCATAACATCATGTGACTCACAATCATAAGTTACTAAACAAATAACCAATAATAATGTAACTATAATATCACTAATGTGAATCATATAAAAACTCCATGACTCTTAAGTTAAGTGTGAAAGTAATATACCTATGACTCAGAATCCTGAGTCATGTGGAACCTGATCTGCTAAGTCATATCTGTGACAGGAGTACCCATTAGAGGCTGAATGCAGATAGAATCCAGACGAAATAGAAGACTGGAGCAATTGAAGACCGAGTATGGACTAATGTTTATTACAGGACCCATTTTTGATGAAGAAAGTACCAAGAGCAGATTATTAACTACAAGTTAAGCTAAAAGTTATCCCAATCAGATAAGAACTGAGTGAGATAGAGCTCTTTAAAGTTTAGAAATTTTTATTTCACTACAGTTTTTTTAGTTTTAGTCTGATTCAAATATTATTTTTTTTTTTTCCTTAGATTAATTTGAATAACCTAGCTTATTTTGTTCCTACTTGTCAGAATCAGGGCCTTGGACTAAAGCCTGGCATCAACAAAACAAAGACAAAAGTATGTAATTCTATAAATACATACTATAGAAAAGATCAGAGAGAGAATAGAGGATATCCTGACTAGAAGATAAAGAATAGAATGGAATGCAAATAGAGTGCAGAAAAAACAAGCTATCATGGAAGAAAGAATGTACTAGAGAGCAAAAATTGACAGGGCTTTGAAGGAAGGAATCAGTAGGAGGAATGCATTGCCAAAGAGAGACAAGCCTGAGCATCCACCAATGCCCAGACTATCTGGGTCAAGGTCCATATACTTTATAGATAGTTGCCATGTAGAGTTATCCCAGCAATGTCTAGTATATGTGGATGCAAAGGGGCACACCTAGATGAATTATATCTAGGCATGCCCATCCAGATTGCAAGTTTACATTTACGACTTCCGGAGAATCTGATGAACAGGAAGTACAGGATGCAAAAGGGATTCCTTGCTAATGTGGGTAGCATCATACCGATTCTATCTCATTGATTCGTATATCGTCCTTTCACCATCGCTAGGTGGTTGCAAATTCAATGATACCGAGCAAGGGTATCTAGTGATATAGTCTCGAGCGATAAGAAGTATCATAGATAGGAGCCACTCACCGAGTTCCTCCGATGGTGAGGGGACTAAGTATATAGGTGATTACGGTACTACTTAGGAATTGTGAGAGTAAGGGATTTCACGCGACGGACAGCTCCATCTCCGCTTAGATTCCCCACAGATGATACGGGAAAAAGTGTATCTCAAAGGTCAAGGAGGGGATCGGCCGAAAAGTCCTCGATGCACCGGAAGTAGTGATGAGCCAAGCAGGTTTCCGCGATCGACAAAAAACCGCGCATCGCGAGTGATCGTCAGTGACCATTCAGTACCGGTAACTCTGTGATTTGAGACCTATGGTACGTTATAGAGAGACCTCAGCCTTTCCACCATACACTACCATGGTTGCTCCCGTAGACAGAAAGTCAGATCCCACCGGCCACAAGTACGCCTCTGGAATTCCCATGCACCTTTTGCCTCTACACTCTCATCTTAATTCGTATCCCCATAGCCTACAAACACTCATATGACTCGTGTCATGGTCGTGCTCCTCCGCCACATGCACTTTTCAAACCAGCACCAGCCAGCACTGCGCGCGCTGAATCTCATTCCGCACAAGGAACCTATCCTCACCTGTATAACTCACCCCCGTATCAACTGTCTCCCCGGCAAGTCAGTACCCCCTTTCCCTCACTCAAAAAAAAAATTCGTAGGACCCACGGTAATGGTAATAAACCAAATCCCTCCTGCCATCTTCAAAAGCTACCTGCTCGCCAGGCTCGTGCACCCATCTGTAACTCCCAAGAACCATGTCCCCACTCCCCGGGAGCAGCTTCGCGCCCACAGGATCCGCAAATGGCCACTTCGCGCGCTCCCGCTGCCCAACCCTAATCCTGTACTTCCCCTGGCAGCGCGCATGCTAGCGTTGACCCCACATCACGATCCGAGCGAGAAAGCATGTACTAGAGCCTATCTTTGCGTGGTGTAAGTACGCACCCTTCACGGGGTTGGGACACTTGCTCAAATATCAGGTGTTTTGGCTAGGCACCTGGTTTGGGTTTGGAGAGAATGAGGGTTAGTCCAAATAGCTACATCTTTGGCCAGAATGAGAAGTAGGATAGGAGGTGCTTTTTGGAGTAGTGTTCGTGGGTGGCATTTGGATATATAGGGCTTGTGGCGCTGGATGAGCAGGAGCGAGCGACAAGACTGCAATCCGCCTATCTTCCCAGCAGCAAAGGCTTCCTGGCCGCGAAGCCGATCCCCATAGCCCTGAGTGTCGAGGATGGAGACGGAGAAGTAGCGGTGGTGTATCCTCACGATCTTGACCACGTCCGGAGCTTAGGTGTCGTTTCTACCCTTGAGCTCAATGTTTCTCTGGGGGGATATGTTGCTAGGGCGCGCCTACAGGGCATTTAGTTCTGGTGTGCGGGTGATTGTGACGCTCGGATGAGTTGCGAAGGGGCAGTAGTCCATGCTGTTCTTGACGAGTGATATGTCGTGGATATGGCTGCCGTCCCAGTTGCAGACGTCACCGAAAACCTTTCCGCCCAGTTAATTAGTACATATTTAAAGATTATGAGGGCCACAGGTATAGAGAACGCCTGCCGGTTTGGCCGCTGATTTGGAGAGAATGAATCTCCGGAGGGAGCACACGTGGCCAACGACGCAACCGGGAGTGGTAATGCTACCAACCAGGGTATTCCACACTTGACAGATGGGAAAAGCCCCCACACAAAGCCCCGAGCCCGAGATAGCTACCCTATTCATCATAGAGAACGATGAGTTTATATACCCGATTGCCCATCCCTTCCCGCCCCAGTCCCTCACTGGTACTCCGCAATCGCGCCAACCCAACAGTCCGGCTTTCACGGTATTCATTCATCCGACCCCGAGGGACGAAACATAGTGAGCTTAGCTAGGATTATTGGGGTGCATTTCTTCCATTGGTGGCTAGCAAGTTTGCCGTGCAAAGTACCTTGGTTGCAGTTCATATTGAACGGGCTAGGCCCTGGGAGGACGTTGCCGAAAAAACGCCTAGATAGGACTCGTTCCACCGATGCGAAGTTCTCCGCATCTTGGGGGGATCCTATGAAAGGCTGAAAATGCGCTAAAATTCTGGGTTCGCTGCGCTGTTGGGGGGAATTTCGGCCGTAGATCTGTAACCGGTACTGGTGTGATACACCCTTGCCGCAAGGCCTAGAACCTCGCGTATTACCCGTACCCGAGCCGTGCCCCGGGATTGTGGAGGAAGATTCCTTGGCCTTGGAGAGTCGCTACCCGGATGGGGCATCTCGCACACCGGTAGGTGCTTGTATCATAACCCATTGGGGGGGGATGTCTGATGTCTGATGCTGGCGATATAGTGAAATGTAAAACAGAATATCATACCTCGAGGTGTGCGACCGGTTCCACGCCAACTTGATAAACCTCTCGCTTTATGCAAATTTCACAGACCGGATCTGTGCAGCATCGGATTGAACACCATCATTCGCTTTCCACTTGAATTGCTCTACTAATACACTGAACCCATGAAACCCAGCAGTAATACCGACTGCATAAAAAATGAAGTTGAAAAGGTCATAAACCCCATGCAAAAGACAAAGAAGGCGGAAGAGAAATGAATGGAGGCAATACTCACGAAATCAGAATGAAGAATCGAAACGCCATGCAATGAGAATAACTCGGAAAAATGACCCTCCCAAACCAGTCCCAAAACCCAGAGCCGAAATTAAAGTAGTCCCTACATGAAATCACAAGCCAAGCTCATCACCCTCGATGGTACCCACGAAAGCTCTTTTTACAAAAGTGTGCCAAATACGATCCTTCAACCTGTAATGATGGCGCTTCTTGCTCTTGCGCCCCCTCTTCCTCCTCTCTTCTTCAACACCACCACCCTCTTCAGTGTCTATTTCCTCACCATCCTCAACCTCTAGATCTTCCCACTCAGCAGAATCATCTATTTCATTCGTCTTGTCCCTGTCACCCTGCTTCTTCTTATTCCCCCGGTGAGTAGCGTCGACTATTTCCCTCGCAAGCTTCAAATAACTCTTGACGGTCATGTCCTTAAGTTTATAGATCTTATCCGTCCTCGTGTTGTACTCTAACTCGTATCTAAACGTTCTATCTTCGGCGGAATCTCGCAATTCTAGGTGTTGGTTATCCATCTTCTCGTTGCGTCCATTGATCCTAGTAAGATTGGCATAATACTGGGTGATACCAAGGAAGGTAAATGGCTGCATGGAATAGGCTGGACCGGGAGGCGTAGTCTTGGAGGGCGGATCGGGAGTAGACGGGTCCTTCTTCTTGGTGGTATGCAAGGCCTGATAGTCGTCACCGGGCTTAGCATTAGACCCTCCAACCACCACATTGACATCATCGAGTCCGGTAATATTGTATTCGATGACCCGAAGCGTCGGGAAGTAGTTCGGTACAACACTTGGTCCAACAATCGAGAGGACGTATCGCTCACCCCACCTGCCCCCAATTCTCTGGGAGTAATCAGCGTTCTGGTTCTGATCATAGGAATCGTCATCGTCATCGCTTTTTCCAACGGCTCCGATAGGAGTGGGGAGGTAAGAAAACGCCTCTCTCAGCGAATTGAGGTATGACTCTGCGTTCTGAACATTGAAAACCGGATTCTCCTCATCGAATTCCGAGGCGTCCATCTCGTTAGCAACCATCTCTTCAGCAGAGCGGCCGGACCACTTCTTCTTGGGCTTCTTCTTGCGTTTGCTGTCGTCATGAGGCGGCTTGAGCTCGTCACTATCGTGCACCATAAAATGGTCCAGATTCATATGACTAGAATAATGTTAGCCATAGATGCTGACGGGCGATCGGAATATTGGAGACCATACCCATAGATAGACCCCACGATAACATCACGATATTGCTTAGACCACAAAACATACTTCTTCCAGCACCTGCGGGACCGTTTAGCAGGGACATTATGTAGGAACCAAGGGTGCTTACGTTTCGTCCCAACTTTGCTTCGTACTTGTCCAAGCTGGTGGAACATGGCCAATCAAAATAGCCTTCATCCCGATATCTCTCATCAATTGTAATTGGATCTTCAACCATTCCATTTGCTCATAACCTGGTTCGCCCTTGAGATCGCAGCCATCGACAGCAGCGTTGGAGCCGAAGAAGTAGCTATAAGTAGTTGTTAGGAGTCAAAGCCCAGCCCTGGGAGAGAGAGATAGGGCAAACAAACATCGTGTTGAGTGAAATGACCGAAAGGCCGCCTTTGCTAGCCAAACCCGTCTTGCCGTTGGTTCCCGGTATGACTTGGGTCCAAAAATAGGCTCCTTTGTCAAACACGTGATATCTAAAACACGGGCGTTAAGTGACTGGATAACAAGACTAATGATCGGATGGTCAAGCCATACTGGTCTTGCGGAATGAAACTCCTCCAGATATCCGAGAATTCGCGCGTGATCTTATTGGGACCGTCCGTCATAATATTGTGAGGAAAGATATCGTTATTACCAAGGGTCGGAATACTAAACACCAATTTTAGCAAAAAGTCGCAGAAGATAACATCTGAAGCGAGTTTTGCCCCGAAGTTGGTAAGATTGAGGCTTACATTGGGACAACTAGGTCGTTTGTCGGATCATCATCGCCAAGATTATCCGGCTTCCCAAAAACGTCAATCATTCCCGCAGTAATACGCCGATTCAACATGAAAATTTGACTGTCACTGCGTGGGATATTCACGTCATTGTCGTGCCTTGCCGAGTCGCCAGTCCAGATGACAAAGTCAATCTCCTGTATTTCGCACATGTCAGCCTCCTGTTCCTGGCACGGGCACCAAAATTTCGCAGGGCAGGGAAACCGACATCTCTGAGGTTTTCTTTGATCCAGGCGAAGGTCTCGTTCACCAAACTGAACGGAGTATCACAGCCCGAGGTCTCGGCACCAATAACTCCAGCATCTCCCTTGCCACGGTGACAGCGCTCACCGGGATCGGAGCCCGTGAGGTAGAAAGGGTCGGGGTGAACGTCTACAAGATGTCAATCGCAAATCACCCAATATTGTCACTCGCTGAATACGGCAAGGCAACTCACCAGTAATGTGCAAAAATCGCCCCTTCAGCTTTCTGGGTCCAGGTTGTGGTTCTGGCGCATCGTGCACTGAGAACACTTCGCTCGGGCTAAGGGGAATCTGATTCTGAACCGGAGTCGCTCTGACAAAGGTAAGGGCTAGAAAGCCCAGGGTGAAGGCGTGAGAAAGCCGCATTATGGGCGTAGAGGACCTGGCAGTCGTGGTTTAACTGAATCTATCGTCTCTCTTGGCTGGATGACGGGAGATATAGGGAGAGAAGAAGAGAGGAAAAGGAGAAAAGTCGTCAAAATAATACTGCCATCAGACCGGCAACCTGTGGATGATAACGGATGTTCAACCGGCCAAAGGTTGACAGGAATCAGTGTTATAGCAGTGTATCGGTCAAAGGAGAGTCGATGAGAGGATAAGGGAGAGTGAAAAAGTAGGAGTGGTCTCCTACTTACGGCAATGGAAGGGGGGGGGGGCTTCGTAATTCAGCAGAAAGGGTGGGTGCCGGTATGCCCTTGGAACGGAAGTGCTGATCTGATACGGGGCAGTGTGAACATAGTGCGGGGAGGCGGAAGGCGAGTGGGAGGAAGGTGGGGGGGGGGGGAGGGAGAGGGAGAGGGAGGGAAGGGAAGAAGGGATGGATGGGCGGATAGGAGAGGAGTTGTGGAGGGGTGATACCGGCAGAGATACCACGTTGGCCAGTCATAGTGAACCATGAACAAACGTGGGCATTGGGCCCCCGGTTGGGTATCTGGCTTTCGGTGGAGGATTTCATGGCTGGTGGGGTGAGCGGTATGGTGAATGATGGTGGTTTGTGGGCTTCCGGTGGTCAGGGACTTGATGCCTTCCCTCCCCACCAACCCGCTCTAATGGCACACAAGATACGTACAGTGCTGTACGGCGCGCTGTGTGTTTTAGGTCATCACCTGCTGTGTAGCGAATGACGCAGCGCGGAAATTTGGTTGCGCGCTATTTTGCTGCCAACCCAACCTCCTCTCAGAGTGGACTACTGGTCAAGTCATGGGGACGGCATTCGAAAACAAGCCCCCCCAATACCTACGAAGTTCGCTTCCACATTCGATAGGGGTACCCGTAGTGCGCTTAGCTAGATTAGCCCTCACGGTAGCTTGGTATTGCTGTGATTACTCGTAAATGGTGGAAGAGGAAGTTCCGTTGTCGGGCTCACACCGCCAACTATTCTCTCGTACACTTTGCTAAATTTACCGTGGGCATGAGATGTGCGCCCTGGGTGCCGTAATGTACTCATCCGCGGTGGCCCGCAGCCCCGGAGTACTCGAAAATGGAGGGTAAGGGTGAAGGGAACTGAGGGCCGCTATAACCACCAAAAGCAACCCCCCCCCCACGCCCCATCACCGCAAAACCCTCTTTCAATCATCCGAATGCCAGTATCCTTCCCCGGGTGAGATTAAGGCGGCACACTGTTGCACTCGAGCACTATACCGGCATGATCCTGTTTCGCTTCGCTCCCTCGACGATGACCCCCATCCTGACGGCGGGAGAGTTGGTTGGTGGTCGTGTGAGGCTGCACGAAAAAGAGGCTGCACCTGCCTCCTGCCCTGCATGTCCGCTGAGGTTGGACTCGCCCAAACCGAACCATTTTCAAAATTCGGGTATGCTCCCACACCTGTTTTGCGATCGGTTACCATCTAAAGGATCTGGAATATTTCTAATTCGATATATTGCTCACTTCAGCACACACCACACCTGATATGCCACTTGAATCCTCCGGCGCTTCCCTTCCCTGCTCCAGCGAGCGATAACGGCAGCAAGGAGGTGAAGATGGTTAAAAGGGCACTCGTACTGTTTGATGGGCCAGCATTTTATCTGTGATCTGTGGCGAAATCTCTGATTTCCCCCTTATCAGTTCGGGGGGGAACTCGAGAAATACCGGAGGCATGTATGCGCTGTGGTTTGTTTCAACCAGTGGCCGAGTGATTTTGATCATTCTGCGAAACATACCGTCTCATAATTACCGATATCTCCAATGCTCGTGGAGAGCTGGCGAGGCTTCAGCTCCGATAGTTGGGAGTCCTATGAGGTCACCATGGAGATGAGGCTAACTTCCTGCCGATTTCAACCCCACGGAGGTGCTTCAGTTTTGGGATGAATAAGGGTTAAGGGAAAGAATCAAAATTAAAAACTCTCAAAGAAATAACTCGCCACTACCGGATATAAGTCGTGGCAATATACTGTAATTCTCTGCTGTAGCTTGGTGCTGACGATACCGGCAGCCGGTATGCGGGCCTCCCGCCAATGCTGCCGCTGTCCGTTGATCTCAGCGTCGCCACAGCAAACAGCTTCTGAGTTCAAACCTCGTCCACGTTGATATGAATGCTTGTACTCCTGAGCACGCTATTGTACGTCTCCCTACCGAGGAAGGGCTGATTTTTAAGCAAGAGGCTGACAAATCCCCCCCCCCATTCAGGGAAAATCAATCCGAATCCTCAGCAGGACACAGCCATTCGACGCCAACAGGGTCGCGCAGTTGGGAATAGAAACAGAAGCTCGTGTGTGACTCTTTTTTTCCTCGGCACAACTCTTACGGTATTTTTGGCACATTCAATTTCCTTGCTAGAGTACCGTACGTTACAAGTATCGCTACGGGTAACTATGCTATGCCCTGATGACTATTGTACTTATAGATACCGGTCGGGTGCATTGGTCCCGTGTTTACTCGCGGGGTGGATTCATGCTGGGCTCTGTTTCCACTCGCACCAGATTGCATAATTGCGGTATCGCGCTGAATGTGTTTTGCGCATTCAACCCCACAAATCCAAAGCGCGGGGTTAGACCCCCCCAGCCCGCGCCCCGAAACGGCAGCCATCACACAAAATCCCACCTCCCCCACCGGTTTCCCAAACGTCATATCCACCATGCCGACCGAACGGCAAGAATGACAAGAGGGTTAATCGGTAATCATTTATCTAATTCTAACTTCTGGTCTAGCAGTGTTTAACTTATCGATTTATTCTTTGTTGCTATGATACCCATATTGCAATTTTCACCACCTCCCTTTCGCTGGAATTGCCACTACGAATATCGTCAGGGGTGCCAACTGGCAGTGTTGAGGGTCTGGCAAAAAAGCAATACGGTTAACTTTGTCCAAAAAGCAACAAACGAGTTGCATTCGTCTGCCTGCGCTCGCTGAGGACGTTAGCCCTATTTTCCTTCTCACGGGTCGTCGGGATAGGTATGTTACCGTGGTGACACCTCAATCTTTTTTCGACGACAACCTGATAAATGACAGGTATATCGCTCTCCTCCATACCTGCACTGCTCCTTGAAAAGTGCCGCGTATGGCACATTATTTTAACCTTCAAGCCGCAGAGCTACTTGTGCATACTTGTACCCGCAACACACAAAATACATATGAGTACATAGCGGTACTACCAGTACGATACTACTGCAAAGGAATACTTTTGCTTTCGGTGAAGCACCATTAGCGCTCCTACCGTGCCACCGCACTGTACCGTACAATCCCGGAACCGTCACATTTTGGGAGCAGCAGATCAGGTTGACCGCCCTTTGAGGCTTTTATTTTCCCCACGATACCCAAGACACGGACGAAGCCAACGCTGAGCGACTGATGGGCCAAGCTTTGTGTAGCAAATACCGGCGCACCAAAACCCTTTCCAGCGAATACAGTGGGGGTAATACCCGAATTGCGTGCAGCAAAAGCAAATCCTCATGTACCCCAGGCGCCGGAGTACTCGAATACAGTAAATCCACCACCCCTCACCTCATCCTTGGCTTTTGGTTTGGACTACAGGTACATCAAGTATTACGTAGGTTGTCGACTTACGAACTTCTCCAATAACACAGGTAGTGGTACAAGTATTACAATCCCTCAATCACTTTTTCCCCCGCCACCGCCTCCTCCTGCCATATTCCTCCTCCGAATATGGGTCCTGAGTTCTTCCTCCAATCCACTACCGTCTCGGTAAATCCTCCCGACGATTAACCTCCGCGGTGCAGCTATATACGGTACACTACGAGTACTCGTACAGCTTCACACCGGGAACGACGAGTGCGCTATCTGCCAGAGGCCCTTCCCTGCATGAAACCCGCCGACTCCTTCCGCAACTGGGCATCTGCACCAAGCAAATCTGTTTGCCATCCGTGCAGGTAATGTATCCCGTACGAGTACATCACACGAGCAAGTACTGCGCGAATAGTACGGTAGTGGCCGGTGAGAATGGGGCTTTCTGCATCTCGGCTGCTTCGCTAAAACTAAATATACAATTAAAACCCAAACGTCCCCCTATGAGCACGAGTATGATGGGTCAGAAACCGGTCGGTCACGACGAAACAAAAACGCAGCCCCCGGTCAGGAACAAAATGTTGCGTAGCCCAGGGCGGAAGCCATTTTAACCAATTGCCCCGCGGGGAATAGAGGAAGGAGAAAAAAAAAAACAGAGGCAACAAGGAGCTAACGAACCAGACCAACCATCTAGTTTGGAATGGAATTCACACAAGCAGGCAACTGCTGTGTCCCGCGTAGTGCGGCCCCGTTTACTGTGCGAACACCTATGGAAGAATGGAACCGAGAACAACCACGGAGAACAAGAGAAACGAGTTATTTTTGCTATTACTGGTATCGCTATGTGTGCACTCAAGTACGGTACCGGTACTGTGATTTGATATTTACGTTGAGCGGTTGCCATGTCCGCATCTCAGCTCCTTCCAACCCGCAGCGGAATACACAATCCGGTTGGCCATTGACGTCACCAGTATTATTGTGCGCAGAAGGCCCGCTTTTCCATGCAGGGCTTACCTGCCCTGCGTGGTGCAACTACCCGGGTACTCAAGCACTCGAGTAGCTGGTTCTGAAGCACGGCCCAGAGGATGGAATGGGATGAACCGAGTGTGTGAGAGTGTGTGATTCACTGGGCTTTCGATGCGCTACCGTTGCGCGGGAATCGTCCGGGGAGGTTATGATTGGTGTAGTGTAATCCAGTGCAGAGTTGGGTGGTGATATTGTGCTACGCTTGAAGTGGGCCAAGCTGGGCTATGTAGAAGATGGATGCTATGTATGATACTTGCAAATGTGGGGAAGTTGGTCGAATGATGTACGGTAGTGGTGGCAAGACTGGTACCGGTACGTGCCCGAGCCCTGCATGGGCTGCTGATATTCTTAGGTGTTTTTTTTACCAAAGCGTCGAAGATATTATGTACTGTATAATATATCTACTGGCACCTGGTGGAATAGCTTTCTCCTAGGATGTACAATTCACGTATCCAGGATAGTTTCCCAACTTGTGCTCCACTTTCCCGTTCATTATTCCTGAACACCTGCATGAAAGTGAAGAATGCTCCCCCCATCGCCCCTCACCGTTCCTTACCCTACTCCCTCACTCGGTGCTTTGACAAACCGAATCCCCTTCACAGCGACTATTGGAGGGAGCGAGCAAAAAATGACTGAAAGATCCCCAACCTCATCGCCCAACGCAAGCTAATTCCGCACCATCATCCCACTAGCCACAATTTATCTGCCAATGCGCAGGTACGAACCGCTCTGGACGGGCAATCAAATACCATACCCCGTTCAATCGCGAATCCGCCCATCGGCGCCTTGATTCCGCACCCGGAGCCTTCCGGTAGCCCCACACACCAGCGACACCACTGGTCAGGAACGGAGAAGAACAAAACAAAAAAAGCAACCCCACGCACGCAGGAAAACCTGGCGCCCGCACACTGACCACACCTTCAGGTCGGGAGACCGCGATTGGACCGCGGAATTGAAACGTTGGGATTTTATGTTACGAGTTGATTCACCGTATCCGTTTCCATGAGGGTATTTGGTTGGCGGTTGTCGCGATGCTGTGGGGATTCCGTTTTGGGCTGGACAGACGGGCGGGGACTGGGGTCGGGGTTCGGTGCGGTTCCACCGGTTGAGTGCGGTGCGGTAGCAGCATGATGGGAGTGCTGTTCTGCACTGTGTTCTCGGTGAGGCGTTTTTGACGGGTGCGTGGGTTTCGGTTCGTTTTGGTTTGGTTTGGGGTTTTATATGATACGAGTACAGTACGGTAGGTCCTATATAGAATTCCATGAACTGGTTTTTAGTTTCTGGGGAGCGCTTGTCTTGATGGGTTTGTGGATCCGGTTGTGTAATGTGCACAGGGCCTATTACTGCATCGCCTCCTGCTTTGTGCTGTCGCGACGGGAGCTCCTTATCTGTGTTGAGCATGCCTCTCTCTCTATGGGTGCTATGTATTTCATATAGCATCATAATTATCATTCCATATCTGCATGGCTGGCCGGTTCCCTAACCCTTCCCTCAATCCGATAGGGCATAAGGGTCGACAAGCCCTAACGAGCGATACTCTTGCTTCCTTACAAGTATGCCTTTGTTCGATTACCGGTATGGGTTACCGGGATGTGTACCGTACTGTACCGTACGGTACTTGATGCGTCCTGTCAATCCAATCGTTTCCAGCTTGTAGGATCATTGGCTGGGCCTGCTCGGGTGCTTGGGCTGATCAAATTTGTAGAATTTGACTGGACAGATAGCAGACGTTCCATCTCAGCGGTTAAGGGGGTGTACTCGAGTAGTAGCAATCTAACGGGTCCCTTAGCGGCTGGGGAATCGCGCCAACCAAGGGCGCTGAAAACAGTCCCGTGCGAGGCTGCTCGGTGGGAAAGATAAATTTATCCATCTCGCAAAGGCAATAGGAGTACTTGTACGGTACCGTACGGTACTCAAATACCTTGCTAGTACACTTAATCGTTAGGTTTACCCACCCGGAAATTTCAACTAACCGGAGAGGGAGAAGAGAAGCACAAAATCGGGGGAGAACACCATTGAGCAGTACTGCGAACCCCCTATTCCTCCAAGTTACAGATACCGCACACCACGGATCACAGGTGCAGCTATGTTCATGATTTTACGGTGTGCCCTAAATAGCTTCGCAAAGCACAACTGGCCACTGGAATTTCTACTTCAGGGACTGTGGATTGTAGGTTAGCCTTAGCTGGAGAGTGAGTATTCATGATATTCTCATGTTCTAGTTCTGCAGCTGTTAAGTTATGTACAGCACAGACCGGTGTTGAGGTTGCTTTGACGGTGAACGGGATTGTACGGGTGCAAGTGGGACTAGAGGCAGGGCCTTCGATGAGAGGGTCGGGAGCCTTCGCGATAGGAGAGCAATGCCTTACTTAGCATGTCAAAAGTATCATGTGGGCAGCGAGACCGGGCGGGTCGGGAATTACAGGGCTTGGTCCTGGCGGAGCCGTTGCCCGTTCTTCGGCGTTTCTTTGCGTGGCTGCTGTGGCCCCTTACGTAATCATTTTTTGCGGTAAGCCTAAGGTTCCCCTGTGCTGCTTTAACGTACCGGCACGGTGCCGTACTCTGCTGAATGCAGTTGGTCTACCGCATACCTCACTATGTAGAGCCGGTAAGCTTTGGAGAAGTATGGAGGAGGGGTTTGAAGGTGTGTGTGTGTGTCTGTGATTATTTTGCGAATATTGTTTTTGGGAGCCTGGAAGCCTTTGCAAGAGGGCAGGACGCCTTGCAGCAAGTTAATGATGGCAGAGTCCTGGGGTGCTGGTGCTGCCAGCCTAGAGTGCAAGTGCGGTACTCGAGTAGGATTCTGGTAAATTCACCGCATCGTGCCGGTATTGAAACGGACTGTGGCTGGGGGGGGGGGTCTTCGACCATGGGGAATGGTGGGAATTCTTGTCAGCCGGGTAAGTTCCGTAGGCGGGAGAACGGATGTCTGCCGTGAGACTGATGTTGAAGTTCGCGGGGGGCTCAACCTTGATTTTCTGCGCCAATCCTCTGAAGGATCTCCAAGTCAGCATCCCCGATGTTCCCCGTGTTCATGGAGAATGGTCCGCATGAACTAGCTAGTCGATTCCCTGTCTCGGAATATACAGCATTCTAGCCCAAGGCAGATTGTTGATATGATACTTTCAGCATTCAGCCACCTATCTCGGCCTGTACCCCGGAAACAAGCCACGAAAGCACACACAGTGCCATTTCACTTAGCCACAGGTACATAAATAACGTCCTCTTTCCCTCACTGCCTCCTCTCTTGGGGCCCGCGAGATTCCCACCTATACGCGTCATGGATAACCCGAGCTCTACGGGTAGTGCTACCGGTATCCAGCTCGAGACCCTGAAACCTACGCGCCTGTGCCCGCCGTCACCCGGCCCTGCCGTACCATTAACGCTGCGTCCGGACTATTACACGGCTTTCAACCCGGAGTTTACTGCTAAATTCGAGAATCTGGACGACGATAGTATATATGCGAAGTGTGAAGCTGCGCTTCTGAACCACTCGACGAAGAATTTTGTTGTTGATTTCGGGGGGGAGCCAAGGATCGAGCGTGGTGGGGCTTGGTGTGCTCTCGATCTCGATTCCTCGAAGCCGGAGACCTTGGAAAGCTTGAAGAATCTTTTGAAGCAAGATGTAAGCTACTGTGCCGGCGATCTGCGTTTTAAGGGGGTTAGATTGGGCTAACTTGTTGCAGAGACCGAGGGAGTTACGCACTAGATGGATGTTGGTCATGTTTTATAACTCTGAAGAAGTTCTGGACTGATTCTGGTTCTTTACTAGTAATATATTCGCTCCGCATACGCAGAAGGAGCTCGTCCGGACGATTGCCGCCCACTATGGATTCACTTCTCGACATACCAGTGTTCTTACAGCGCCGCCAGCTACCCACACTCATACCCCTATCCACCAGAAATCCATACCTTCGATGAGAGATAGATTATTCCGCCGACACCCTTCGGATCCCTCGGATGTTGAAGATAGGAGCACGGTAGATAGCTATGCCAACCTGGAGGCGGTAGCTAATGCTGCTGCTCCTATACCAGTGTCACAGGGGGCTAAGAGGGGAGGACACATGGAGATTGTGAGTAATGTTTGGCATTGGCATGCTGTTGAATGGGGTGGAAGATGTGAGCCTTTCCTTAATGTCTGTTGGGCCTACGCTGATTCCTGCAGTCATGTGCATCGGATTCAACTCACTGCACCAGATTCCTCAAAAGAGAGCCCCGACTGGCGATGAGGATGCTAATGGCAGCGACACCGATTGGTGGCAGGAGGATGAAGATGGCCAAGCAGCTATGGATAAAGGGGAAAACTATCCCGACGGGAGACGACAGTGGGTCTGGCTAGTGCTCTGCGATGACGGTTTGTTCGGGATGCCCCTGCTCATATCCCCTATACTGATTTTCCAGGTACTGTTCTCAGTTTACATGAAGCACCGGGAAAAGACGTTGGCGAAAAAGAGCTGGCAATAATACGGAGAAACCTTGTCACAGTCTTCCGGTCGCTGTCCAGGTCCAGGGCTGCTATGGGAAAAGTAGCGAGCTCTGTGCAAACGGGGGGAATGGATGAATTGCCTTTCAGGAGAAATTTCGCTGAGGGCGGTGGAAGTGAAAATGCAGGTATTCGCCATTTACCGGAGGTTCTATGGGGAGTGACTGACCATGGTGATTAGGTTGAAAGCGGTCCGAGCCTCCTTTTCTATTATTTATTTGACGATTGGTACTCCTCCTTGGAGCTTGTGGTTGGTCGTGGGTATCCGTACAGCGCTCGTATGCGTGCATTGGTATATCATTCCCCACCTCTCATCTTTTCGTCCGTTAACAAGCCGCAGCGTCGTGAAATGCAAAGCAACCCCGAACTCTCACAAATCTCGCGTCTCCATCGCCTCGCCCGACAGCTGGCAACGCTAAAGCGAATGTACGAGACCAAAAAGATTATAATCGACAATGTCTTGTACCGCCAAGAAAATTCTCACAAGAAGAACGCCCTGCGATCGGTCGTCCCGCCTGCTCCTCCCACCGGGTTCGCACAGAGCCCTGTCGCTCTAATGGGAGATCCGGACGTCCTCGGCGTCCCGCTCAACCCCCTCGCCATCGCAAAATTCGAACGCCTAAGGGATAGAATAAAGCTCTATGCTCTCGGCGAGATCAACGACTGTCTACAGGAGAAATCAGAGCTGGTAGATATGACCTTCAATCTCATTGCCCTGCGGGAATCGGAGTCGGTAGAGCGACTCACTCGCGTCGCTATCCTTCTTACGAAATTCGCGTTTGTGTTTATCCCACTCACACTCATCACTGGATACTTTTCCATGCAACTGAAGGATGTGGAAGGCGTTTACAGTCAACGGGACTTTTGGGGCGCTAGTGGGGTTTTCGTGTTTATTACTATCCTGGTGCTGTATACTATCGGGAAGACCACGGACACTATGGAGAGTGCGAGGATGTGGAGAGGGTTTAAGGCGGTTTGGCTGGGGTGTTTTGGAAAGAAGAGTGTGAAAATGACGAGAAGGAGGAGTGGGCAGTGGTGATTTGGTTCCACGTGGTTGGTTGGTGGGAGGGTGTACCGTACTAGACTAGTGTTTGGGTGGGGGATGGTGTTGGTGGGGTTGGGATAACGAAGAGCTCTAGGGCTGCTTGGGCATGACATGGTGTGCTATTTAGCGATTCTGCTTTGGACGATGAGCCGCTGGCGTTATTCTGCTTATTAGAGAGTTCTTTAGTTCGGGGTGCGCCTTTTGGATATTTGTGGAGGGCTAGTCTTTATTTTGTAATATCGGTTATTCAGTTGGGGACCATATGTGTCATGATAAATGTATACTGTATAATACAAGGCATACATCGTAGAGACCGTCCAGTCGATCGTGTTTTTCACTATCATTGTTCCCGGGCTGCCGTGGGTGTTGAAGGGGCGCTATGATATGTCTTGGTGAGACCACCTCAGAATACCCACCCGATCGCCGAGCGTAACATTGACCTTTTCTCCCATATGGCATCCACACCCGTTCGGTGGCGGAATCCAGATCCGGAGTCTGTGGGTGTTGGAGTATGCCGCTTGAAGTTACGGGATTGCTTTTTTTTCCCCTGTCCATGTTCAGATCTGCTTGGGGTTGGTCGCGCTTAGGTTAGTGTACTCGAGATACTCGTAGTGTAGTGTACAGTACTGTACTCGTAGTTTGGCGTTGCGGGTGGGCGGGTGGGTTGGTTGGTCTACGGCCGGGGTATGATAATTTCCTGTGCCCGATTGTCTTCTGCTGATTCTCACCATGGGTGAATGCATAGCGGATGGTATTATCTGTGTATTTGTGTAGCCGGGAAGGGGGGAAGGGAGGGAAGCTTAATTTTTCTACTAGGAAAAAAATGCGCGGATGTGGGTTTATATCCTCTGACCGGTGGCCAATACAAAAAAGGCTGTGGTCAGTGGTATGATATATGAGAGCTTCGAGGGAGCTTGTAGGGGGTTTAGTTTATGTGAGTTTGGTATTTGGCCTTGTGGATAAATGGTTTCTGGACTGGGACTCACAGGGTATCACTCGGGATCATTTCAGTGCAAAAACCCGCCTGACTGTCATGTATTTAGAACATTGTATCGAAAACCACCGAATATCCCACCCCTCAACCGCAGGATGATATATATCTCCTCGCGCATACCATCTGGAAGTATGGACCTCCCCCTATTACCCTGTATTCCAATATTAGAGCCTAAACTTTGCCGATCCCATCGGGAGTAACCGCTCTGACCGCAGTGCATCTAGCTTCGGGGGGGAAGATGGAGCAGCCTTGTAGGGGGAGTGAAAACTCTTGGGGGAAAACATGCTAGAATTTCGTGGTGGCAATGTGTCCATCAGAGGCGAAGTAGCGGCGGGGGTGGTGGATTCGTGGAGGATCTGGTGGCCATATTGGGGGGGGGGGCAACTAGGGCTGGTTAGTATCTTGACATGAAGGGGTTGAGAACGGAGGAGTGGGAGAGGGTGTTATCATACTCTAGTAACCTGACTGTCTCATAGCTAGAGAGGAAAAGGAAAAGAGAAACGAAAGAAAAAAACTTGGGGATCTATTAGGAATACAATGCATAGCCAGCATTCTGGTTTGGCTGGAAAGTTAAAGTATATCATACAAGGAACTATTTTCTACTGTGACACTAATGCACGGGTCCAATAACTTGCACGCTACGGGTGGTAACTCAAGTGGGGTCCCCTCCAACACCCCCCCAGCGTCAGGAGGTTTTATATATAGCGCCTGATTAACCGCAACCATCGTAGCCAAAGACTATTCATATCGGGGAGAGTTTAGTGAAGATATTGGGATAGTCTTCATAAGAGGGCTAGAAAAACCTTCTTAATATTACCAATTGACCGCCATACTAGAGGTGCCGACTATAGGCTGGCTCATTTGGTTAATTCTGGGTTACCTTTTGAGTGTAGTGTCTCCACTGTCGGCCATTTATGCTTCTGCAACGCACCGAGCCTAGGACTATGATACTTGTAGGGTATGCAGCTATGGGGTGATGTTTCTCACATCCTATGTGGTTGGAGACATAGCACCAGTTTTCGGGTTTTGTTTCCTTCATGATCTTTTGAACTTGGTGGCTTTCTTTGACTTGTATTACTGGAGGGCCGTTTGGTATTAGGTAAAGGGGCAGGGAATTGGTTTAGTCTTGGGAACTACAGTAGCACATAATAATCAAGTTCTCTAGCTAGAGCTTAATTCCTAGGCTCTCTTGATAGAACAAATCTCTATTGCCTATCCTAAAAGTGGAAAAGCTCTGTAAGAGAATATTTGGAAAGCCAGAACATAACTTAAACCCAGGTTCTCCAAGTGTTTCTGCACTTCATGCTTCCTTGCAACATGATACCTCTCTGTTCATGAAAATGGCTTGCAAGCTAAAATATTACGATATTTCTGGAAATAAATGTGTTTGGTAGTACTATTATTTTAACAATTTTTTTTTTTTAATTGGTGACGGTCTTATCCGATCACTACACTATCATCTCATTTGTTATTGAAGTCTAAACACAGTCATCAGGCTAGCATTTTCCCACAATACGAAGGGAATTGTCCAAAAAAAGTAAGATATTTAGAACCTGAGAATTGCTCTGTTAGTAGATGTGATAATAATATTTAGTTACTTTTTCGTTTTACCTAGCCCCTTTTGCAATATGAAGGGTGCGGGACCAAATGAAAAAGCCTATGGTATCATCTTGTTTTCAAAATACTGCGGTATTTGTGTCATGCCGAACAGGTCCCAAAGTAATTATAAAAATACCACGAGAAATAACCCAGTGAAGGGGAAATACCATGGTGGTTGTGGCATCCGGAGCAGGGCTTTAACTATAACTCGTCCGAGGCTTTGCTTTGAATTTTGTTGATCTGTTGTGTTTATTCCGAGCGTTTATCACATAACCTCAGTGATGATATCATGACATTGTGATATTTATAGAGCCGATAGTGCCTAAGAGCCCCACCGCTTGCTGTGAAAGGGATACCGAGCATCCTAACAGTGAGGTTTGATAAAATACCAATTAAGTTAGCATTAAACCGGCAGCCTCTTCCAAGCAGCTCTACTCATCTCGAATGGTCTCCGATCTTCGATATAGCGTATCCCGGGGGGCCTGAAAATCCGTTGCAGATAGGGAGCTAGTTGGCTTCCCGCTTTCATTCACCGGGTTGTTTTCGGTGCGCTTTGTCACCCCTATAGTGATCTATTTCTAAGCTCGCTATCGTAGCTAAAGACAATCACACGATCCGGAAGCCGCCTGTCGGGTCACTCAGACTGATGCCACCGTTATGATACTGCAATCGAATAGCCACTCCGAGCCAGCTCCTGTTAAAGTAGGGCTAGGTTTAACGGCATTGTGTTGCGGGAGATTCGCCCCAACAGTGCCGCGGGGCTATACGAGGTTAGGAGTTTCCAGTGATGTAGATTCCTTCACCCCACCCTTCCTTTTCCGGAGTGATGTTCAAATCTTGGTCGAGAGTCCCAAAATTCCTAGTTCCAGGCTCGAACAGAAACTTGATGATAGTGAAACATCCAGCAACATCCATGTACCTTAGACTAGGGTAGCTCTTCGAAATAATCCCAACGATAATGCTAACTCATAGGAATTCTGGACCTGGACCAGGGTATGGAGGTATTCTCAGAAATGACGGTGGACTAGACCGTAGCTACCTATTGAATTGCGAATCTCGGAAGGCATTCTGTAGCCTCGAGTGACTCGTTATGATCTTTTCAGTTCGGTGGCCTGGTTTCTTATTCGGGGTATGGCGAGCCTGTCTATTGTTGAAATTTACTGATTTGGTTTCATAGGTATATTTTCTTTGATAATATCTAATATTTCTCTACTTGGTGTTATTCATTAAACATAGACATTACTACAGCTAGGGTATATATTATGTGTATTTCATAATAACAATTAGGGATAGTATTTATCTGGTGCTAGGGATATTTTCTTTATTTTTATATATTTCTTATACACTGTTAGTTATTTGGTTCATAGTTATTTTATAATTACTTCCTTATACTATCTTAGATTTCTATATATTTATTAGAAATTTCTTGGCAGATTTTCAGGGTTAAACATGTTCATACTTATATTTTACACTCTGTTTTCTCCTACCCTACAATGGCTGCATGCTTGTATATGTTGTACAGCCACTAGACAAAAGTCTTGGTGATAGCTTAGTTAGCTATCCCTAAGTGAGGATAAAACACCCCTGTTTGAAATCACACCACACTCAAGCCCACTTTCTTTACATTACTCATCATAATAGTTCCTCCTAAAAATAACTGCACTGCAGCTTCAAAAGGGAACAGGTTCTGGGAGAGCCATGGTTGTAGGCCTTTTATTTATCCTTTAAGTCATTTTCACCAGTGGTATCCTAGTTGATATTCCTAGTAGACCACTATTTGGTATCTATCTTTTCTTGTCTATAGTCAACCATTTAGTGTATTCTCACAGAGGCATAGGTTTGTGGATCTTGAATCTTAAGCTTGCTGTCCTAACTGAGGTTTGATAGATATCTGTCAGCTACATTAGGAATCTGTGAATGTTGATGTGGTTTATAAAGAATAGTGTGATAGAGGCTAAGCAGAGGTATATGAAGTACCTGTAGGATTTACAAATTTATAAGAGTATATTTTTGATTAATTATTTGCCCTTTTGCTAGTAACTTTAAGTTTTAATCTCTCACAATATTGTTGAGCTAGCTAATTGACTCATGCCATGCCGGCATAGTGCTTGTTTAGTGCACAGACTTTGTCTCACTGGTAGTGATCACCAAAACCTTTGTCTAGTGGCTGTAGTTACTGCCCACCTTTCTTAGCAGAATTAAGGATCAGCCTGAGGGTATCTACCAATTTAGCTTGATACTACACTGCTTCCTGCTTAGTATAAACATAGTGGTTAAGAATCCTACGGCACCTGGGAGGAAGTGTGACAGGTAATGCCAATTCTTACTTCAGGATAAGGTAAGAGTTCCTAGGCCATTGTCTACGCTATATGGATAGCTAAGCCCTTTTAACCGCTATTGTGTAGTACCTATTCCTTTAATCTTCTTAAGTCCTCGCTTAGGACTTAATTTTGGCTCATGGGAGGGAAGATAGTTTTTGGATTCTCAAGTAAAGTAAAGCACGTAAAGGTTTTTTCTTATAAAATAATAAGTGTAGGGAATAAACAAGAAGAAAGTGTGAAGAGCTCATACTTGAAGTCCTAGTGACTCTTTATATAGTCGCTCTTCACCTGGTGTGACTTGTACCTTATATTATATTAACCTTATGACTCATAACTATGAGTCATGCGAAATCCCTCAGCTGACTACTACGAGTCACTGCGTAACATACCTAAAAC